CACACACGCAGAGTACATACCATTATAGTTAGGGATCAGTATAAATGAAATGCTATGCATAGTGAAGAAATGTGAAAGCCCAGAATAAAACTGGAAAAATTCAGGGGAAAACTGGTTTTTCCTGTTCCCAAAAGCAGTTGTTGTTGTTGTTGTTGTTGTTGTTTTCATGGACTTTGAAGACGCTCAAACTCAGGACGAAAGGGAGAAATGTGCTAAGAGGAAGGCACGTTTGGCAAACCCTCACCATGATCAACTCCAACCTGGAAACCAATGTCCCCACTGAGGAAGGACATGTGGATCCAGAACTGGCCTCCACAGGCACTTATGGACTCACCGTTAAGAACGTGTTCATGGAAGACAATCTTACTTGGCTATGAGTGATCACCTAATAAGAAGATGAAGACGAAGTTGTTTTCAGAAAAAATGAACAAAGTTGGACTAGGACATGTAAATAGTATAGCGAATTGTTCTAAATCTGCATCTATGCATATAAATTTGCATATGCAAACTTTATTCAAATCACTATCCACTTTTTCGTGATGGATTTCCTCTGCATTTGGGGTGAGGCACAAGTTAAGGTACAGGTTAAGCCTGCTTGTTTGAATACTCATGTTGTGCTGTAGTTTGGTGCTTAGCTTCCATTTCCCCGTGAGTTTGTTCAAACTGATTATGATAGTTGAGCAGGGCTAGCCAGCAAGGCACCCTTCAGGTCTTGTGGATTACAACTTCCATCAGCTCCAGTCAGCATGGGCTTTGGTCAGGAATGGTGAGACATGTACTATACGCATTGGCTACCTGCATCTAATGCCACAGTGTCATAAAATATCCATGCCTGATATCCATAAACTTGTATAATTCTTTTTAAGCAGGACTATAATCGTATGTTGTTTTCACACTCTGATTACATGCTCAGGCTGCGGGATACTTGGATAAGCCTACAGTTCTTTATAAAAGAGAGGAAGAGGGGAAGTCACTATGTGGGTAACTGTGGCATTTAGACGATCAAGAAACCTAGCTGGCACATTCCAGGTTACACAAGCTTTCAGGGGGCAAACATGCAATAATCTGAAAGAACTGGGTATCTCAATCTCCACTCCTATTCCAATTTCTCTGAACTCTTGACAGACAAATAAAAGCGAGGGAAGCATAGTGAGAAAAAAATGGGTTTTAGGGTAGTTAATAGGTTTTATGCCATGCCCTCACAGACCAGTCTCATGTTTGGAGAGTCACTGTGGTGCTGTGGCTAGAGTTTTATGTTTGGATGTGGGAAACTTAAGTAAACATTTCTGCTTAGGCCAAAACAAAATGTAGGAGATATGTGGTTTTGTTTTCCTAAAACCAGCATGCAGGCCACAAATTGGATTGGGGCTGTGGCTCTTGTGAATGAAGGGCTTAGCCCCTTCTCTTGTGCCACGTGCAAATGGCCCTCATGAATTAGGCACATAGAGCCATATACAGGTACGCATTTTGTATCTGTAGTTTCTTTTCTTTATTTTTATGAATGTATACCCCACACTTTCATAAAACTATAGCAAGGTGGAGTATAACATATAAGGTTAAAAAATCAACAAAAGAGCCACAAAAATATCCTTAAAGCATAATTAAAAACCTCTGTAAATACAAACAAATACTGACAGGTTGAAAGGCGGGGAAACCATGTGGAAAAGGCCTGTCTACACAAAAAGTTTTTCGAAAGGCATTGGAAAGGAGAAAAGAATGGGTCCTGCCAGCTATTTACTGGTAGGGAGTTTGACAGGATGGGGTCTGCCACATTAAAGACTTGGTTCCTGGCGAAAACCAAATCTCAGAGGCTTGGGGAACTGCTAGAAGTGTCTCACCAGAGGATCTTAGCCATTGAAGTGGAGCATAAGGTAAGGTAAAGGTAAAGGAACTCTGGGTGGTTAAGTCCAGTCAAAGGCGACTATGGGGTTGTGGTGCTCATCTCACTTTCAGGCTGAGGGAGCTGGTGTTTGTCTACAAACAGCTTTCCGGGTCATGTGGCCAGCATGACTAAACCACTTCTGGAACAACGTGACAGAAACCAGAGCACATGGAAACACCGTTGACCTTCCCGCCGCAGTGGTACCTATTTATCTACTTGCACTGGTGTGCTTTCAAACTGCTAGATTGGCAGGAGCTGGGACAGAGCAATGGGAGCTCACCCTCTCATGGGCATTCGAACCGCCAACCTTTTGATCGGCAAGCCCAAGAAGCTCAGTGGTTTAGACTGCAGCGCCATCTGCATCCTTGGAGCATAAGGAATCAGATGGTCACTAAGGTACCTCGGGCCTAAGTTTTTTAGGCCTTTGTGGGATTAACACAAAGTACCTTGAACTTGGGCTGATAGCAAAACAGCAACCAGTGCAGTTATCACTTTAACAGTTAACACCAGTTTTGTGACTGCATGCATGTTTTGCCCTGGGAAATAAGCATGCAGTAGAGTTAAGCCCCCTTCCCCCAGTACCATGGCCCTCATCCAAATTGCTCCCCCTCACAGCTGCTTTTAGGAGAATACAAAGATGGCAGGAGATCTGATCAAGGATTTTCTGTTTAATGTGCAATTTGGCTCTCAGCCACAAATTTAACTAGGTGATGCTGGGCAGTTCACTAACTTGAAGCCTGGTCTGCATGATAGGGTTGTTATGAGTCTGGGGCTATGATCTCTTTGGAGGAAGGATGCTCCATAAAATAGAGCTAATAATAATCTTTCAGGGCTTTGATGACAGTCACATCTGGCTCTCTTTTTCCCTGTTACAGTAAATGTAAACCCAGAGCTTGCTTTGCTCCCCCACCCACTCTTCCCAGTTGTCAAAGAAATCCTGGGTCTGAACTTCTGATTCTGATTTAGAGGTTGGCTCAAGCCATTGGCATACATATATTTGAATGCAAACTTTGGTTCTGCAAACATTTTGGTTCTAATTACGTTGAAGCTTGAAGGCAGATGGGAGTTGATGAAGTTTGCTCAGCAGCGCAAGATTCTACTAGAAACATTTTCCACTACATACTCAAAATTATTAAATCCTAAAAGCACAAGAACTAGTAGGTTTTTCTTTAAGTGAAAATTGGATTTCTCAAGGGAACTGGATTTGTCATCCTCTCCAGGGCATTGAGCTGGGTGGAGAGATTGATACATTCCCACCCAGACCAGTTCCACATGGAAGTACAAATAACCCTCACTCTCTGCTCATTAAATGGGTCGTCTGATGAGCAGGTAGGGGGAGCAATGATCATCCCCACTGTGAGGCTGGAAGAATCTTTCTGCCCATCCCAGTGCAATGCTGGAATTCCAGTTCACATCATCCCCTCCTTGCTGGAGTGCTGTGGCACTAAGGCAAAGTGGGGTAGATGAAATGAAGCGTAAGAAGCGGGGGGGGGGGGGACGACGACTGATTTTCTTGTATATGTGTGTGTGATTGTCTTTCTGTCTGCCTGTGTAGGATTGTCTGTGTGTGAGAAAGTGACAGCACTGGCATATCATGTGATATGTGTATGTGTGATTGGGGGGTATCTCTAGTTATCTCAATGAAGCAAAGAACCCAGTGCAGTGCTTTTTGGAATTAGTGTATTGTTACACGACACTCCAATGTGCAAGATTCCAGGGGTTGCAGGCATGCTTACCAGGGTCTGTGTTCCCTTTTGAGGCAATGAGGTATAGCAGAGACTGTGGTGTCTTTATGACACAGTCATACCTCTGCTTACATATCCCTCTGGGAAGTGTATACTTCCAGGTTTCGCTGCACACGCATGCGCAGAAGTGCTCAACTGCGCCACATGTGTGCGCAGAAGGGCGCCTCCAGTTACGGACTTTTTGGGATACAGCCGGGTCTCCAGAATGGATCCCGTCCATAACTGGAGATACCACTGTGTAGGGTTTTATTTACATGTACCTTGGTTCTTGAATGCCTTGTGACTCAAAAGTTTTGCCTCCCGAGCACTGCAAACCTGGAAGTAAGGGTCCCAGTTTGCGAATGTTTTTCTAAAGCTGAACTTCTGACGCAGCTTCCGCGGCTTCTGCTTGAGTGCAGGAAACTTCTGCAGCCAATCGCAAGCTGTGCCTTGGTTTTCAGATGTTTTCGGAAGTCAAACGGACTTCCAGAATGGATTCCATTCGACTTCTGAGTTACGACTGTATATACAACCTGCACCTAGATGGAGGGATTGCAGAGCATTCACATCCCATGAGGATCTGGCTTCCCCTATAAGGGCAGCATTGGATTCAAAGGACAGCAAAAAGCCACCCTCTGTGTCTCTTTGTTCCAGCCTATCATCTCTAGCTCACATGGAATTCTGTTCTTCCATCTTTTCATTGCTAGCTGACTCCAAGGATCTTCCTTCAGCCTATGTCATTCAAAGTTGCAACCCTAAGCCTGGCCTCTGAATCTGCCCACTCACACCCAGCAAAGAAAGGACCCCACAGCCCCTTGCCTAGCAGTCTTGCCCTCTGATGGTTTTTGTGATGGGCCATCACCGTACCTGCAAGGTGGCTTGGCTCCTTAGCATAACTAAATCCAGGGGGCTTTGGTGTTTGGCAAAGTTTAATCAAAGCTTGATTAATTTTAATTTTTACTAAACCCAGGAATTATGGAGAGCCTGCACCTACCCCAAATCATAATAGTATGTAACTACAAATGCAGTAAAAGACCCCAATGCAATGCTTTTTAAAATGAGTGCATGCCAATCAAATAAGTCATTATTAGTGCTTCTTCAAATAAGGCTTCATACACACATGACATTTTATTTTTGAATCAATGGAGAAGAGTACTTGTTTTTTCAGTGCACAAACACAATCTGGATCTATTGCTCCCCCCCTTTTTTTTTGCCCCTGAAAATCATTAATTGATAAACTGGTTTCATTCTGAAAAGAAAAGCTCATTGAATGAAGACTGATTCTGCAGTGTGTCCATTTGAAAACAGATCTAGGCAGGACCCCCAGCAATGTTGTGTATGTGCATCCACACCTGCACAATGACATTGTAGGTAGGTGTATACGAAAATGGCAATCACGGATAGCTCAGTCAGTAGAGCATGGGACTCTGGATTTCAAGGTCATGGGTTTAAGCACCACATTGGGCAAAAAAAATAATAATATCTGCATTGCAGGGCGTTGGACTAGATCACCCTCGTGGTCTCTTCCAACTCTATGATTCTATTATACTCCTTTATTCATTCAGCTGGGCCATGTGCATGGAGGAAAAAGCATGGAAGGGGCTTCGAAACACATATCAAGTAACCACATCCACTTTTGTGGAATCAATAATCAATCTGGACTGAAAGCAGTATGCTGACAATGAGTATGAACAATTCTAGATGGAGAAGAACTACATTTCTGTTGTACAGCCAGGTTATTGTGAATGCAGCCTGTGTCAATTAGTTCAGTGAATTAAAAATAGTATCTACACTAATAAAAAATAATTTCATTATTAGCGCTGTTTTAAATTAGTGCAGGTTAATCAAGTCATTTTCAATACTGTAAAAATACCTGCCTGCTTCTTCACTTTGGCTCCATCCACTTTTATGATGAACTCTCCCCGCACCCAAAGGATTGCAACATGTCAGTGGGGCCTTTGGGCCCTGGGCTCCTTTGAGAGGAAGGGCAGGATATAAATTGAAATCATCATCACCATATCATCACAACAATAACCACTACCAATGAAAGGAACATAATGACACTAACTTTAACATGTATTTATTAATACATGAAATATTAGTGAAATAACTGCAGTGATGTTGATACTGCCAAGTAGAATAACTGCCATACAAGAAATGAAAATAATTTCCTAACCCAGTGGAACAAGTTTGTCTTTCTTTCTTTCTTCAGCAAAGCAAAGCAGCTCTTGGAAGACGATAGTGTGTGATAGCCTTGAAGCTAACACTGGCTGCTCATGTGAATTTCAGTTCATTCTCAAAAAATGCAACTCACAGTCGATAAAGAGAAGTTTTTGCAGAGAAGAAAGTCAATAGAAACAGTTTCCATCTGTGACCCTTTCTCACAGGCTCTGCAGGTGTTGTTCCCTCTTCCTCAATCAAACTTGGGTTAGAAGAACCACTACCAACAGCAAGATAGCGCTGTTGAAGAATAGTGGGGTCAGCTAGTAACCTCAGAAAACCTGTCACTATGCTGAAAAATGCCTGCGGTAGCCCTGACAGCCAGACCAAAGCAACACTTTTTTGAAGGGGAGATAAAAGGAACTTAACAGCGAGGCTCCTGCATAGCAATGCAAGCAACCTTGGTCCAGTACAACACAGTGTATTTCAGGAATGTCTGCTGCTGCTGCAGCAGCACCAGCAGAATCTTGACTGTATCTGGTAGAAAAATAATAACCATATGTTCCCTGAGCAGACAAGGTATCAGTGCTTTTATAGCAACATTAATATTAGGGCAGGTCTGTAACCAAGTGGAACGTGCAGGGCTTCAGGGTCCTGCCACCTTCAGCAGTACATCAAACCTCTTTTTCTGGATGTTTAGGTTTTATTTTTATTAAAGTAAGTTTCTAGTCCCTTTCTCAAAATTAAAAAGAAGAAAAACATGCAGGGAATATTCTGCCAGATTGCTCATTAAAAAGTAAAGCAGTTCCCACCTGGCAGCGTTCTGGCCAATGGAAGCCAAGGCTCTCTAGGATGATTAACAAGCACTTGGAATCCTAGCACATATATTTTTTTAAAACGTAATGTTTTATTTTATTAAAGTTATTAATTTAAACATGCTGGACTTCTAGAATTTAGGTTTACGTAGGCTTATGCTGTTTCATGTTGATTTACGATGTCTCCCTCCACTACCCGTAGTTTCCACCACCAAATATTTATGGCTCAGAGCTTTACTAGGCTGGAGGTGGGGAAAGTAATAGTTTTGCATGCTCCATGTATTGAAAGTACTGGCTAGCTAGCAGCTAGTTGATTCAGATGTAGCAGAAAACCATGGTTTCCCACTATTTGAATGACCCACAGTGAGCCTTGGCCACACAGGCTGTTCCTTCCTCCTTTTGCAGGAGTGTGCAGAGTTTTTAAGCATCTGCTTCCAATTCTGGGGGGAAAAAAGCCACTGTTCTTTGAAATATTCAGATGTGGGGATCAATAGTTTACATGCCAGGATCTGAAATGGCATTTTGATCCTGGCTTGTTCACATGAATCGTTGTTTAGACAAACCACAGCTTCCCAAATCTGGACACCACAGGGATCTGCAGTTTATTTAAAATCAAGAAAAAACAGCAAAAGAGGATATGAGTGCACAAGTCGAGTCACACCACAGCTCATTCATGTACAGTGGTACCTCGGGTTAAGAACTTAATTCGTTCTGGAGGTCCGTTCTTAACCTGAAACTGTTCTTAACCTGAAGCACCACTTTAGCTAATGGGGCCTCCTGCTGCCGCCATGCCACCGCCAGACGATTTCTGTTCTCATCCCGAAGCAAAGTTCTTAACCCGAGGTACTATTTCTGGGTTAGCGGAGTCTGTAACCTGAAGCGTATGTAACCCGAGGTACCACTGTAGTGAGAAGAGAAACTATGGGCAGGATTCAGCTAAGTTGTGTGTGCGGAACAGGGTCCAGTTGTACAATGGGACTCCCCTCCCCTCCTCACTCAGCACCAATTGTGCCCCATAAATCTGCTCTGAAGGGTTGAGAGAACCCCCCCGAACACGGAGAGGAGAGGAAAGGAGAGGTGAGGAGTCCTCATTCCACATGTGATCCTCATTCCACATGTGCATATGCCACGTAGCGCTATATTAAATTCCTCCCTGTGGTTTTCTGATACACTAAATTGCTCAGTCCATGGAAATCCTGTGGAAGAATAAAGTGATAACTTTCTTAAAGGAAATCTGAGCAGGCTTACCAAAGAGACTAGTGAGTATTCCTGGAGAGGCACGGAAGAGGGTGATCTCAAGCCTCAGCACCAAACAACCCATTCCGTTACTCCAGGCTTTGTACCTTAATGTGTTAATGCCATATTACTGCTGCAATGTAGTGGTGGAGTCACCTGTTGGAGAGAGATGCTGCCAGTTGGTGTAGAGAAATAATATTCAGCAGGTGGTGCGGGACTCAATATTGGGTTGCAGTCCGACATACGATGGATCATGACAGGAGCATTGCCACTATAGTTACATGGTAGAAAAAGAAGATGGCGGAAGCAATGGGTCCCCAAATGCAGGTTTGGGCTAAGAGTGGGTCCAACCGGTGTAGAGAGTGTGTAGCTACATGCGTACATGGCTAGAATATAAGGCAGCCTCATGTTTATACCTGTTGTTGTGTAATAATTAGTTAAGCTGTTTATTGTAACCCAAAACTACCTAAGAATGAAGAGAAAGATCCAAATAACCAATATGGTTTTTTACTTCAAGGGTGGTGGTGGTGGTTGTTATGCAAAATGGGTGACTGGGAGATATAAACACAAAACTTGCAGCAGAACTTGCTAGCAAAACAATCAGAATTGGATATTGCCTTCAAAGCAAATCAAACACAGCTGAAGTGTTTACCAACATATCTGCACGAGATCTCTTAAAAATAAGGTACCTATCTGCCAGAAGATCGTTCTTTATTTTCCTTTCTTTGAAATTGTCATGAAGCTTTGACTCCAGATAAGAAAACTATAATGAAATAAAGGAAACATTGTTTAGCTGTCAAAATGAATTTGATGTGTGACATGTATGGGAAGAGGAGAAAACAACGCAAGATTGGATAGTGGGTTCCTGAAATTTATGTGAAAAGAGAGTGGGGGAATCAAAGATAGCCCTTGACGTTTGATAGAAACAACTATTTCATTTGTTTGCATCCTTCGTTCTTACATGAAAGGCAAAGGAGGTTTGTGGATATCGATTAAAACCATGCAAATAGTACTCAATAGCATTTGACATTTTCGTTAACTTTGATTTTAAGCTTCGTCATATTTCACTGGCGGAAATGTTCACAGAATTATACACAGATAATAAATTAATGCACAGAGAAGAAACGCTTTGATTTCCCTTCTCCATGGAGGTCATATGCATGAATAAAAGTTAGCACAGCCAGTGTTATAATTCTTGCAAGGATTGTTATATGCCTGCAGTTTAGTTATATAAAAGCGGAAGTGTCAGGTTGCAAGGCCAGAGCTCAGGCGGGGCCAAACCAAGGCACAGTGCCAGGACTTAGAGGAGGTGCTTGACAGAACCCATTGCTCCCAGCCATTGCATTCTTGCTATATGAGCTGCCTTAGGACTTCAAGACAAACAAAAGGAAGTACTTTTTCACACAAGACATAATAAATCTATTGCATTTGGTTCCATGAGATAGAGGGTTGATCACTAGCTAGGGAATTAGAGAAATTCATTGAGGACAGGTCTATCAGCAGCAACTAGTCATGAGGGTTATATAAAACCTCCGAGCTCAGAGGCAGCACGACAATGAATACCATTTGCTGGGTTGCAGAGAGAGCTATTGCCTTCATGCCCTGCTTGTGAGCTTCCCAAAGGCATCCAACTGCTGCTGCGGCAAAGAAGCAGCAAACAATATATGAATATTTCGTTTGATTCAGCTGGGCTCTTACGTTCAGTCCTATAGTACCACCTTACTTATACCTGCTGGGTTGGAATCAGATTTAGTCAGGCTTAGAGTAGGCACATTGAAATAAATGGGACTTAAATTAGCTGATTGTCTTAAGTCCCATTGATTTCAATGGCTCTAGTCTAAAGCACAGCCAAATATAAATCCAACCTATTCACTTCTACACACTTAACTCTCGGGACTGTGACTACAATGCCAAGCCAGTTAGAGAAGAAAGTTAAAATCACTGCAATAGCTGTGCTATCTCCAGGAAAAATAAAAACAGGCACACATTTATTAAAGGGGGGGGGCAAACTTTATGAAGAAATCTTAACACACACACACCTTTTTATCCCAAACGTAGGATGTTTTTGAGCTTCAGCATTTATACTTTTTCTAAAACAAATAAGGCAACTTGTGTTTCAAACAGATCCTTGGTGATTTAAATAAGGTGGCCTTTGCTGTATTCGCCAGCTTTCAAAAAGATGTCTGGGCAGTCTGAAGATAAAATCACTGCTCTTTATGGCACACTAATAGAATGTGTAAGTAAATTTACAGCCTGTTC